CTCATCAGAGGCTGAATAGTATTGGACTTGGCCATGGTTTTCAATAGTTTGTATTAACGGTTCAGGCAATTGTTTCACAAGAAATGGTACAGCATCCCCCAGAAGTGATGGCAAATGCTGAGACTCCAGAATTTGGAAGAAGATTCTGAAATTTTCTGAACCATCAGTTGACACAGGATCTGTGAGAGTGGCGGTAGGCAGCCCTCATGCATCTAGTTCGCCTGTGCAGCAGCATGGTGGGTGGGAACTCAACCTCAGCAACCAACTTCCTCCTGGCCGGGCTCTTCCCTGGGTCCCCGCATGTGGCTTTACTCAACATTGCAGTCATCTGCATCTACATCCTGGCCTTCATGGGAAATGCCCTCCTGATTGTCCTCATCCTGGGGGACTCCCGTCTCCACACGCCCATGTACATCCTGCTCAGCCAGCTTTCGCTCATTGACCTGGCACTGACCTCCACCATCGTCCCCAAGATGGCCGCCAACTTCTTCACGGGAAGGAGGAGCATCTCGTGGGTGGGTTGTGGGACACAGAGCTTCTTCTTCCTGATGCTGGGCATGTCCGAGTGCCTCATCCTGACCCTTATGGCTTACGACCGCTACGTGGCCGTGTGCAACCCACTGCGCTACCCCTCCATCATGAGCCCCCCATTCTGCCTACGCACGGTGGTGGGGTGTTGGGCAGGGGGCTCCGCCAGCTCTTTGGTCCACACCGTGTACCCTCTGCACTTCCCCATCTGTGGGTCCAGGGAAATCCACCACTTCTTTTGCGAGGTGCCGGTTCTCATCAAGCTGTCCTGCGAGGACACCTCCACCTATCAGTCTGTGGTGGTGGTGACAAGCATCGTGCTGCTTGTCATCCCCTTCGGGCTCATCACAGCTTCCTACACACTCATATTCCTCTCTGTCCTCCGCATGAACTCCGTCAAGGGCAGGAGGAAGGCACTGGCCACCTGCTCCTCGCACCTCACGGTGGTGAGTCTCTTCTTCGGCCCCAACATCTTCATCTACATGGGCTTCACCTCCTCACACAGCCCAGAGCAGGACCAGGCGCTCTCGGTGTTCAGCAACGTGCTCACTCCGCTGCTGAACCCCCTCATCTACAGCCTGAGGAACAAAGAGGTGGTGGCTGCACTCGGGAAACTGTTGGGGAGACGTGGGGTTCCTAGCAGAGGAGTACGAGGGTGACACGGGAGGGGCTGTAACCCTGAGCAGAGTTGCAGGCCCTGCTAGTGTGAGCTCTCGGCTCAGGACAGCACGGCAGAAGGAGCTCCAAGTGAAAACATGCGGTCGTGGTGTCCCCAGGCTCCCAGGAGGGGGTTGTTGCTTTTATTGTAAATATCACCGGGGCCAATTAAGTTAGGAAAATATTAATGAAATTATTTTACATTTGTATTAAAATTTGGTCCACAGTCTCTGAGGTTGCTAGGAATTTCCTACAAATATAGAAGAACCCATATTTGGGCCTCCAAATATATTTAACTCCCTGAGCCAGCTTGGTAAAAGGTTAATTTGAATGCCGCAGTGAAATATTCACATTGCTCACTGGCATCCTGAGTAGTACAAGATGCTAACAAAAGGAGCCTAGTAAGCTACCAGGTGGGAGGGTGGGAGCAGGTTACCCCGCCTGATCTTCACACACCTGAAACCCTGTACACCTGCACTGATGGAAAGGCCACACCTGACACCCGGCTGAGCCATGACAGTCCACATCACCCACCGAGGCCCACCAGCTCTTGAGAGAGCAAAGAGGGCAAAGTAGATGAAAGTGGGAAAGCGCTCAGCACAATGTCTCAGGGTTCTCCTGCCAGCGGATTCCTGAAACCACCGAGCGGTGAGGAGGCGGTGTTCTCAGCCGCAGAACCACAGAGACCGTCTGCTCGAGCATGTCCATTTATGTACTGCAAGCACAGACTTTTATACCCTAGGAAAGGGGCTGGCAGCAAGGGCATTTCCCGACAGCCCCCAACCCCAACAATGAGACTGTAATTGGCTAGAAGGCATGTCTGTCTCTCTGGATGCTCCAGTCATGCACAATTATGTAAAACAAGCATGGTTGGCAGGAATGCCTCAGGTCACAGGCAGGTAAACCATGGGTCATACAACACAGCGTGGCAGGAATGCCTCGGGTCACGTTTACCATGTGTGGCTGGCAGCTAGGTGGGTCACATTAGACTTGTCAGAGTTGTTTATCAAGGAAGTTCCAGCACAGCTTGTCCAAGGATGGAGAAGAAAGACTTGGGGTGCAACCAACTACTTTTGGTTGTATGACCAGTGAACAGGCCAGGTTGAGGTCTCGGTTAGCTGAAACCATTGTCAGGGGGTTCCCCCAGGGACACATTGCGCCACGTGCCCATGACCTCCTGCGTTGGTAGAGATTCAGGGATGACCTCCCACACCATGGACTGCTGTTTTCCTACTTAGGTGTTTTGTATTGGCTGCCACGTACCGGTCGGATGTGTGTCACTCGTCTGACAAAACGACCATTCACAAGACTCATGTCCAAAGTGCTTTTCTGGGTTCCGAGGCTGGGGACATGAGCACGCAGCTCTGTTCTCATGAAATCCAGCTCATGCTGTCTAACTCCACAGCGAGGGAGGTGGATCCTCACTACCAACATGAAGAAGAGAACCCCTCTCCCAGCTGCAGGGGCCAGGGCCACTTCTCACTCTCCACCTAGGACAGGCCGGGTAGGACGTGCCCACAGCCCCTCAGGGTTGAGAGGCGTGAAGCAGCAAGGCCTGCTCCTTCTTGGGAGACTTGCTCACAATGGTGGCTGGGCTCAGCAGGGCTTGGTGTCTGCAGTCAACACTGCCATGGGGACAAGGGTGCCCAGGACCTCTGCTTACGGAGCTGTCTGGATCTGACTCCCTCACCCCTCCTCATCTCTGTCAGCATCCGCCACCTCCACAGGCGAGATCCAGGGCTTCCCAGGCCTGGCATTGCTGGCTGTAATCAGCTGGTGGGAGGTCCTGGCTCAGGGAGGGGATGGGGTTTCCAGGAGACACACGCCTGGGGCGATGCCCAGATACAGACTACACTGACTGGGAAGGGACGCTTTGAGGAGGCTCCGGGAAGCACGCAGCAGAGGAACAACTGTCACTCCAAACTAAAGAGCGCAGTCGTTACCCACAGCACCAGTCATGCACACTGGGCTCAGACCACGCCCAAATTAGCAGTCTGCCTAACATGCCTGTTTAGATAAATGATGATCAATATTATGGTGTCAATATGTTTTGTCTAGTTAATATTTACTTACTAATTTTTGGTCTTACAGCTTTTATTAGTGTTTTGAATTTTATTCAAAGATTTGTTTACTTTTCTTCGGAAGTCAGATACACATAGGAAGCTCTTCAGTCCACTATTTCACTCCCCAAGTGGCTGCACTGGCCAGAGCTGGGCTGAGCTGATCCAAAGCAGGAACCTTTTCTGGATGGGAAGTGAGGCTGCTGGGATTAGAACTGGTGCCCATACATGATCCTGGCAGGTGCAAGGCAAGGACTTTAGCCACTAGGCTACTGTACCGTGCCTAGTATTTTGAGCTAAGTTAACAGATAACATTATGCTATTTTGTATAACCCAATGTTTTGAAGCATACAAATGCTTTAAAAATTCAAGGAAAGTGGAATTAAAAGTTTTTAGCACAAAAACTATTGAAATTCATGCATAAACTTTTCACAGCGTGTTTTCTAAAAAACATTTTGAAGATTGCACAACTTTGTGGATGATTAGCTGGAGAACATGGGCATTACCGTGCAGTCTTCATTGACATGATGAGATAGTTGTTTACGATATCTCTGTTTTCCAGGAAGACATCATCAACCTTGGTCATGTGCAATATCCTAGGTCTCTTAGCTCAGTTCTCCATTGACTGTGGTCAGTCCTCCTCGGCCACCACCTACTGTCCACCCCAGCCTTGCATATCCATTCTATCTACTTACTTTATTTGAGGAAATGTATGGCTTTGGGGTCCCAGAGTGAGCCAGATCTAGCAGAATTCGTTTTTCTGAGCCTGGCTTTCTCATGTAAGCTGGATCTCATCCATACCCAGGCATCTTGTACAAAGGGATAGAATCTAATTCCTCCTTCAGACTGAAGGATATTCCCGTGTGTGTGTACATGTATAAACACAGTATTGATTCATCTGTGAGGGTCACTTAGGTTGCCTCCAAGTAAACTCTTATGAATAAGGCTTTGATGAGATGTGTCAGTGTTCTTTCAACCCATTTGTTTCCATTCCACTGAATATACTCACTCCTGGACACGAGGATGCAGTTCTTTGTGGAGTTTTTGGGAACCTCTGTATTATCAGTGATGAGTGTATACAGATTTCTATCAGCAATGGTCAAAGATTCTTTTTATTAGTAATCCACAAAAATACACATGTGTTAAATCATTTTTTAAATTTATAAATCATCATTGTATAACTATAGAATACAGATGATCTGTATGTACATTGCAAAAAGACTCAAGCAAATTATCAATTCATTTTTTTATTTTTCATTCTGCTTGGGGTAAACCTCATAATCTACCTTGCAAATGTTTAGATACACATAGGAGTGATCATGAGAAGAGCTCAGACATCCATGGGATGGATGATGGACCCTCCTGCTGCTCCACCTGTGTGGACATGCAGCCCTTCAGCCCCTCCCTTGGCACCAGGACCCCAGAACACACGTACTCTGGGGCCCACCATTCTAACTCTAAAACTCTACCTAACAGGAACTCTGACTCTCTACTCCAAACTCTAACTCAGTGAATCTGGAATGATCAAGTGGAACACAAATATTGAGCCTGCACTCACAGACTCTGGAATTTGGGATAAAAATATAGGAAGAGAAGAAAACCCAAAGCAACACAACACAGAGAAACCAGTGAGCAGTGAAGTCACAGAGAAGCCCTCAAAGGAAGTAACTCCCTCTCAGGGGCTAGACTGGGGACAGTGCAGGAGAGGAACATGAAGAAGCAGGCACACCTGGATCACAAACCATCGTCCAGCATTCACAAGCATTTATGACATGACAGTGTGGTGAGCGACAGTGCCTTCCTCAGGGCCTGCGTGACTTCCCTGTTTCTCAGACTGTAAATGAAGGGGTTCAGCATAGGGGTGACGATGGAGAAGAACACAGAGACAGCCTGGTCCTGGGCAGGGCTGTGTGAGGAGCCCGGGGTCATGTAGGTGAAGATGGTTGGGCCGTAGAAGAGGCTCACTGCCAGCAGGTGGGAGGAGCAGGTGCCTAGTGCCTTTTTCCTGGCCTGGCGGGAATTCATGCGCAAGACAGTGAGGAAGATGATGGTATAGGAGGAAGAGATGACACCAAAAGGGATGAGGAGAAGCACAATACCAATCACAAGTATCACCAACTGGTATGTGGAGGTGTCCCCACAGGCAAGCTTCATGACGGCCATGGGTTCACAGAAGAAATGTTCTATCTGCAGGAAGCCGCACTTGGGTACATACATGGTGTAGACCACCTGGGCCAGGGCATTGAGCCCACTCCCCACCCAGGACCCTAGGACCATGCTCTGGCAGACCCTCTGGCTCATGATGGTGTGATATCTCAGAGGGTGACAGATGGCCACGTAGCGGTCACAGGCCATGAACATGAGCAGGACACACTCTGCCCCACCCAACGTGAGGAAAAAAAATGTCTGGGTACCACAGGCTATGTGTGAGATGCGCTTGTGTCCTGAGAAGAAGCTGGCGGCCATCCTGGGGACGGTGGTGGAGATGAAGAGCAGGTCCACGAGGGACAGGTGGCGGAGGAGGAAGTACATGGGCGTGTGCAGCCGGGCGTCCAGCAGGATGAGCACAGTCAGTGTGGCGTTCCCCCCCAGGGCCAGGGCGTAGGTGAGGATGATGAGGCCAGCAAGGACGTCTGCATGCTGCAGGTGCGGAAAGAGACCCAGAAGGATGAACTCGGATCCCATCGTCTCATTCCCTCCAAGCATGAGTGAGATCCACAGCTGCACAGGGAAACAGCAGGATGCCATGCCATGAATCTGTGTGTGCCCTCATGGTGCTGTGCATGCCAGCTGCTGTCCTCTGCCTCAGCCCAGCGTGTCAGTGACACTCAAGTGTGCTCACGTGATGGCATGGTCAGAACTGCAGCCATTCCTGAAGGCCCCAAGGAGCCACACCAGCAAGTGGAGCTATCCTTGCTGTCCCTGACCTCCTGTGTGCCTCCCACATGCAAATAAGCCCTCTCTGACTCTGCTTTGGGCAGGAGGTGGGAGGGTTTTTTTTTTAAGTGGGTAAAACTATTATTTTCATATTGTTTCCTTCATGTATCTGAGGTAAAGGGGGATATTGAGGGAGAAGCCCCACCCGGTTTCCCCTCCACCCCAAGTCCTGCATGTGGCGCATGCTCTGAGCTACTCGCTCAAGTGGTTTCGATAGTTCACCAGTTATGAATTGCTGCCAGTCTCGGGGAGGGTTTGTTTTTGTGTCCTGCTCACAAAGGTGCCTGGCCTGCCACATTTTCTGTAAAGTTCATTGTCTTAGGAACCAGTGCGAGGGCAGGTGTCCGCTCTGTCTTTACTTAGTGGCCAAGAACAATGTAGGAAAGAAAGGGAGACTCAGAGTGCCAAATTGGGCACCTGACCCCAGTGACTAAGACAGGTCCTGGGCAGGAAAACCCTTCTGAGAGCCGACGTTTTGCCCATGTGGGCTAGCTCTGTGTGCGGGTTTCTGGGAGGAGTTTGCTGTGGTGTAACGTGGACTCAGAAGGTGCCTCTGAGTACATGATGCACAAGCTTTACTTTGAGATCTGAGTCCAAATACCGGAGCCCATCAGCTGTACTCTTCCACACTGCCCTGGTCTCAGTTTGCAGCTAGTGAGGCCCCAGGACATACACTCAGCTGCCTCCCAGACGCCAGGCTGTTCCTGCTCTTTCTTATGCAGCTTCATGGCCCCGGTTATCCCACCAGCCTGGCAGACTCCCTGGCCTTGTGACAACATGGTATCTGGGAGGGTGACAGATGCCCATGTTACGATCCCAGCCATGAATGAGAACAGGATGCACTCTGCCCCAGCCAGTGTGAGGAAGAAGAGTGTCCGGGTCCCCAGGCTGTGTGAGATGTCCTCTCTCCTGGGCAGCAGGTCCCCCGTGCAGCCTCACAGCCCAGAAATGCAGTGTGTGAGTGGCCGCGTCGGAGCTGCGGGAGACCCCAGACAGCACCTGCTCTGCCTGGCACCAGAGGGGCAGAGGAGCAGGATGTGAGGCTGAGCAGTCAGTGGGGGTGGCAGGGCCTTGCAGGGTTCAGCGTCTGCCGCTCGGCCCATGGAAGATGCCATTCGTCTAGCTGCCTTGTATCTTACACCCACTGTCTTCTCACCACCGCACATTTCTCAGCTACTCTGTGTATTCTCCAAAGACTCCTAAGTTCTTACTTCCCCAGAGCGTGTGTGGAGAGTCCTGGCATTGCATGCTAGGATGCTGAGTGCGAGCACCCTGGGTGTGTGATGCAGGTGTGAGCAGAGCCCTCTCACTGTGGAAGTGTATCTTACGTGACTGGCCACAGAAGCACCAAGTCTAGGGCCTGAGAGAGAGAGCACTGCTCTGAGTTACCTTGCTGGGGTATATGCAAACAAATGATGTACCAGCCGCTTGCTGGCAGGCATGTCCCAGGAGCTGTGGCTACACACGAACACGCGCAGTGCTGCACACATGACACTCCTCAAGCTCCATCCTGACCCCGACTCATCCTGCGCAGGGATGCCAGCTTGTCCTCAGAGTGAGGCTGTGTCCCTACACTGCCTGTCTCCTGCTCCCGGAGAGGCCAGGAGAAGTGGAGCAGGAGTGAGTGGTAGGAAAGCGGTGTTTCCTGCTTCAGTGCTGTGTGCTGTGCAGTGTCTGTGTGTGTGCAGCCTGCCCTGCAGGTGCATGGAGGAGGAAATAGTGTCTGTGGCTTAGCAGATCCTGGTGGGGTTGATGATCTCACAGAGGAGCTGTCCACCAAGAATGGCCCTCCTCTCAGCTCCTGTTCTCGCAGGGCTGTCCTCCAAGTATGGACCTCCTCTTGGCTCCTTGCTCCCAACTCTCCCAGAAATCTGGTGAGCACCCAGCACCTTGCCTGTCCCTGGGTCCTCTGATCATTGAGAATGAGCTGTTCCTGACTCACTGAGCACTCAGTCATGCTGCAGGGCAGACGGTGTCATTGCTGAGTGTGGACCTCGTACGTCTGTTCCCTCAGTCCCCTCACCTTTGCTCCCTGTGATGGTGACACACTGTTCTCAGGGCCAGCAGTGCCTCTCCACACTCACCTCCAATCACAGCTCCAATCACAAGGTTCCGTCTCCACTGCCCAGTGCCCTCTCTGCCTCTGCCTGGCTGGCCGCTGGGCTTTATACATCCTCGCAGGTGCACCTGAATGGATCTGCCCTCAGGGACCATCACTGCAGATTGCACATTGGCAGCGGGGACTCGGGCCCAAACTCCTGTGGGATTTCAGAGGACAAGGACCTGTGAGACTCAGTTAAACACAGTAGCCACAGGTTTTTTCAAAAATGGAAATTCTCCCCAGCTGTGGGCATTGGTCTATGTAGCACTGTAAATAGTCAAGTGTTACACTACCAGGAGAAAAGCAGCTAGGCTCATGGGCATCTGGGCCTGTTTAATGCCAAATCTATGTTAACCACACCCGTATGCCATAGTTGCTTACATGTTGGAAACAAGAGGAACTTTTAGGGCCGGTGATATACCAGTTCACATGAGAAATATGAGCTGGGATTGTTATAATTAAGCATTGCCTACCAGGGCACAAAAAGCCATGTCTGGGGGCCTGCCTGGCAGGGCTTGATCATAGTACCTGCCAATGAGTGTTGGGCAAGCGGTGGGCCATGGTAGGCTGGGCCATGTCACCAACCAGCATGCAATAGAACTGGATTTAGGGGTAGATTCTGTGAGGGGTCATGGGCTCAGCCCTGTGGGACTGCTATACTAGCTGGTTTGCTCAAGGGCTTGGATGGTGACAGGCTGAGCTAGGCATGGCCATGAAACTCAACAACACTCATGCAGATTTGGGTTGAGAACAGGCCAGGTTGGTCCAGGCTGCAGCACTTGCAGGCACAACCAAGAATTGGGTGTGGGGTGTGCCAGGCTAGGCCGCAACATCTACCAGTACGTACAAAGGCCAATACTGGGAAGCACTGTCGGCTAAGGGCCTAACACCACTGGCACATGTGAGATCTAGGTCTGGGAGTGGACCTGTGGAGAACCTGGAGGAACACCCCTTGTGGACCATAGCTCCCGCTGGTGAGCACATGAATTAAGGCTCAGGCTGGGCAGGACTGGTTCACTCATTGGCAGGTGTGTGGGTTGGCTCTGTAGGGAGCAGACCAGGCAGGGCCAGGCTAACCATAGCACATTGGCATGTGCGGGAGCCAAGATGGAGTGCAGGCCAAGCTATAGGTTGGCTATCATAGCTAATGGTGTCATGTGTTGTGACACACATGGGCCTGGGGCCCTGGGCATGCGTGTGTGTGTAGGCCCCGTGCTCCCCTCCTCAGCCCCACTGCATGTTATGTGTTATGACACATGTGGGCATGCGTGTGTGTGTAGGCCCCGTGCTCCCCTCCTCAGCCCCACTGCATGTTATGTGTTATGACACACGTGGGCCTGGGGCCCTGGGCATGTGTGTGTGTGCAGGCCCCATGCTCCCCTCCTCAGCCCACTGCATGTGTCATGTGTTGTGACACATGTGGGCATGTGTGTGTGTAGGCCCCCTGCTCCCCTCCTCGCCCACTGCATGTTATGTGTTGTGACACACGTGGGCATGCCTGTGTGTGTGTAAGCCCCATGCTCCTCTCCTCGCCCACTGCACATGTCAAGGTTAAAGTGACTGTGACTTCCATTCCACGCCTTCCCAGTAGATGACTATGATCAGGAAATGGAAAAGTGTGCAAGTTTATGTTTAACCACAGGGTGGCGCTGCAGCATCTGACACAGGGGAAAAAATGAATTGCAAACCTGGATTTGGGGGATTGGGAGAATTATGTTTGAAATGCTGTAGACATAGTAAAAATGAAGCCATACGATGACCACTTCCTGATGTTTTGGATTTTAGGTTGAATTTCCATTGAAGCGTGAAGACCTCATTAGGGGAGCTTTGTTTTGGGGGTGGACCATCCACGCGGGGAGTAGGGCTGTCCTTGGGCAGTCACGCATTGCCTGCTAATTCGTGGGAACTTGCTGTCTGGTTTTCTCTTGGGAGTAACTTCTATTGTAGAAGGCTCAGAAGGCCCTGGCAGACAGGATCCTGGCCTGTTCATCATTTGGCTCAGCAGCTGGTGGGGGACAGAAATGCAAACCTCCTGCTCTCAGCGCGTCACTGAGCTGCTAGGGTGAAGCAGGTGGAGAAGTAGGCAGAGTAGAAGGGTAGTGAGAGAAATTCACTTTAAAACAGTGCTAAAGGAAAATGGGAGTATTGAGGACCAGGCAGAGACCGCGATGGCAGAGAGATACTTGCAGGGAAGTCAAGCTGATGGAGTGGGCTCCGGGACCTGCGATGACTAAGGCTGGACATGGGGCTGCAGCTCGGACGGTGGTCCTGTATGGAGTGGGCTCCAGGACTGGTGTGAGCTAAGGCTGCAGGTGGCCCTGAGGGTCGGACAGCGGTCCTGCATGGAGCGGGCTCCAGGAACGGTGTGAACAAAGGCCGGACATGGGCCTGAGGCTCAGACAGTGGTCCTGTATGGAGCGGGCTCCAGGACCGGCGATGACTAAGGCTGGACGTGGGCCTGCGGCTCGGAGAGTGGTCCTGCATGGAGTGGGCTCCAGGACCGATGTGAACAAAGGCTGCACGTGGGCCTGCGGCTCGGAAGGAGCACATTCCTGAGAGTGCCTGCAATGTGCAAAGGCATCAGAAGTTGAGAGGTGCCCTGTAACTGTTTCAGGGCTGTGTTCTGAGTTCTTAGTCCGATGCCCTC